TCCCTAAAACCCCAAAACCCTCAACCCTAAACCTCTAAAGCCTAAACCTCTGAACGCTAAACCCCAAACCCCTAAACCCCTAAACCCCTAAACCCTGAACCCTAAACCCTAAACCCCTAAACCCTCAATACCCTTGCCGAGGTCGGTACTCCTCTAAGTGGTAGAAGACCTTGGAGGCCACCAGCGCGGCCATCTCTCTCCCGGGAAAGGCAGGGTCCTTGCGTCTTGGGGGTTTCCGAAAACAGGGGACCCTAATATAGTACCCTAAGTAGTAGGATCCTCATTATAAGGATCCCAAAATACGGTACCCCTAATTTTCGGAAACTCCCTCTTGGGGATTTCATGCGTTGTTTGTTGTGCGTTTCCCCTCTTTTCCTCCCGCGTGGTTGTGTAATCTTAGGGCGGTTTAGGATTTAGGGCAGGGTTTGTCGAGTACGGGCCTCAATAGTTAGAGTAGGGTTTGGGGTACATTGGTACATGATATTTCGTATGGCATAGTTGTTAAAGATCCTTAAGGAAACCCAGTCTAGCTAGTGATCGTCTCAATGACAGGATCGTGAAATACACTATTTCAGCAAACCTAGTGTAGGTGTTGAATTGCAAGTTTAGGATGGTTCAAGCAAGGGCTTATACCCTAAACCCTAAACCCTAAACCCTAAACCCTAAACCCTAAACCCTAAACCTTAGGGTCTGGGGTTCAGGGTGCCGGGCAGGGTGTTGCCTTCTTTCTCTTGAGGAGAACATAGAAGACCCGGCACCTTTCAAGACTTGGCTACAACCGCCTGTTCTTCTACTGCATGATATCATACTATACTATACTATACTATACTATACTATACTATACTATACTACACTATACTATATATACTCTACTCTACTATACTATACTTTGCTATGCTAGCCTGTACTGTACTATATTATATTTAAAATATAATGGCCCTGTAATTGCTCAAGGCTTCAAGCTTTCAGGATCCAGCAGCTTGAGACTGCAGGGATGGGCTATTCGAGAGCCGGATGCCTCATTATGCCCGCGCAAAACTTGTTCAAAATAGCCCTGGGTTTAAGGCTTTGGGTGTAGAGTCTTGCGTGTAGGGCTGAGGATCTAGCATGCTTAGGGCAACGCTAGGCAGAAGAAGCTCTTGCCAGTCCTCATACAGCGTCTCAATGTCGTTCAAGTAATCGGCAATCTCATGCCAGAACTGATCCACCACCTGTCCACACATTGCCATGAGCCATGAACTGAGCGAAGCTTGAAAGTTTATTACGAGGTGGTCTCGCAGAAGCCTCGTTCAGCCGCTGGAGCGCAGCGCATCGTAGCTGATTCTCTTGCTCTTCCAGCAAGCTCAATACCTCAGCCGTGCTCTCAAGAAGATCTGGGGCTGAAACAGGATCTGGCCATGTGTTCAAAGCAAGAGACCGGGCAGACTTTTTGCTCACATCACGGCACACTCAGGCTGTCCTGTACCGCCACTGGATGCCTGTGTTGGAGCGAACCCAGCGCCGAAACGTGCTGTATTGTTGGCAGACGCCTGAGGGCATGACGCGACACTATGCTGAAGGGCCGAAGGTATAAACGAAATCTGACCGCTGTGCCCTTGCCTGATGAGCAGCTTGATGGACTCTGCGAGCTTGCTCGGTCGCTGCCTGCTGAGCCCTTCGATGCGCCTGCTGAGCCGCCTCATGGGCCTCATGAGCCTGCCGCATCTGCGCAGCATGCTGCATGAAGCCGCCGGCAGCCTGCGCGACATTGCCCATGACGTGTTGGAAGCCCGGCGCATTTGCGCCCAGGAGGTTGCCGAAGTGGTTGAAAAGATCCCCTGGCTCTGCGGCCTCAAGAGCTGCCACACGAACACAGCAACACTCGGTCTCTACATGGCTAGAACGAAACCGAAAGTCGCCGCCGGGGCGCCCCTGCTCCAGTCCCGGCCTGCGAGGCCTCGCGGGCCCTCTGCTGGGCCTGGGCCGCCTGGGCCGCCTGGGCCGCCTGGGCCTGGGCCGCCTGGGCCTGGGCATGAGCTGCCTGGTGAGTGGCGTGATGGGCTGCATGGGCCCCAGCATGGTGCATGTTGGGGAAAAACTGCTGAAAAGCAGCTGCGGCATCTCCAAAGAGGTTGTTGGCATTCAAGTTTCCGAAGGGCGCTTCCGCAGGAGCTGCATTGGGATCTCCGGCTGATCGGCTGGCGGTCCAATCGAAGTGACGGCCACAACGAGTGCAGTGCATGTGGTTGCAACCTCCGTTCTTCTCGATTGGAGCCTGGCACTTTGGACACTTGCGGACCCGGGTTCCATCAAAGTTTGGCTTCTGGCCGTCATCATCTGTTCCGTTGGCATTGGCTTCCCAGGTATGCTCGCACATGAAGCACATGGCAGTTCGCCGGCCCCGCTCCTTGTAGGCCACTCCGACGCAGCCCGGCTGGGGACACTCCAGCACCTCGTACTTGGCATCGCGGATGAGGCGATCCCGCTGCTGAAGATCCTTCCAAAGGTTGCGCAGGGCGGCACTCATGGACGCTGCATCCTGGAATCTCATCTCGTGGGAGCAAGCAGGCGCGTAAATGCAGGGAAGGTTGTACTTCAACGAAGACTTCATGGCCTGGATCTGGCTCTCAAGGTACATGCCCAAGCACTGGAAGCACGCGAGGTGGCCACAGGTGAGTGGCCAAACATCGTCGTCCAAGCGCCAATTGCAGCAGATCCGGCAGTAGCTGAAGAGCTGAAGCTTCGCCTTCCTGGCACAAGAACCCCAGTATGCAGCTACGGGACTGCCCTGCCCTTCTCCACTGATCCGAGAACGAGAAACTCCTATTCGACGTTGCAGGTCGGATATGCCTGCAGCTTAGACATCCGTTCATAGCCCTATCTCTCAGCTAATTGCTCAGTCCCCTCCCCTGATGTTCCAAGCAGTTCCCACAAGCAGCGGTACTGGTGCCGCGGAGCCACGCGTCGCTGTCCAGGCGTCTGACTGCGGCATCCACCAGCTCAGACTTCTCCACATAGCCGCTGAGATCAACTGCCAGATTCCTGGTAGTCGAATTTGCAGAGGACGGCTCGACTTTGCTCCATGCATGCATGCGGGCACACTGGCACTCACATACACAAACAGATTTATTGCACCTACGGCATGATCATGGCGGTAACAGCATCTGGGAGCAACGTTGCCAAGTTCTCTGAATCAGAACACGGTGCCCCTACAGTACCCGAAGGCCTCGTTGCAAGCCTCAAAGGCTCGAGCCATTGAGATCTTCCTATGATTCCGGGTCTTATGAACTCGCGAAGTCAAGAGGCGTCAGGAGCTTCTTGAGCTCCTTGACTGTACAGGTCTGGCACACGGCACGGAGCTCTGCTGCGTCCAGGGCCGGAGGCGCTGTGCTGCTCTGGTCCATGGCCCACGAAGTCAGGGAGGTTGGGTCACAAAAAAAACGAAAATGCGAAGAATGCCCCTTCAACCCCAAACCCCAACTACATCCGTCTCGGAACCATTGAAGTTTGGGCCCAAGTCCCAAACCCAACCTCCCGGATGCGAGGCAGAAGGCTTCTCGGAAGGCTCTGCCGACTTCTTCGGACTGGATTACGGTACACAATGATGTATGACTATCTCATCAAATCCCTGTCTGGGCTGCTTTAGACCGGAGCCAAGTGCTCCGAAGCCTTGAGCAAACATCCTTGAAGACATGGTCAAGGGAAAGCTGGAAGGCTAAAACACCCCAAACTCTCACGGCTCGCGCGAGATCTTTGTGAGCCCTCCTTGAGCCCATACGCTGCATCTTCGCATAGGGCCCACACCTGCCACGCGCCTACAAACAGAGCCCGGCAGGATCCTCCTGGAATCTCTAGCTCTCTGGCTCTTGAGATCTCAGGATCACTCGAACGATGAAGCTACCTACCAGTCTGACAGCTGACAGGAACGTGGGGAAACGACGTAGACTTAGAATACTGGAGAGGAGAAAGGTTCGGGGAATAGATATAGAATAGCTTCTCACTCAGCCCTTAAAACCTTCGGCCCAAGTCTTCACTCCAGCTGTGGCCCCGTACCCCCGACACCGACGTGACTGCGATGGGCGGGGCCAGAGCAACAGCAGCCATCGCCTGACCGGTCATATTGAAACGTTCTATTTCTGCTGCTACTGCCGCCTGCTACCTCTCCTCCTCCTGGTCCTCCTCCTCCTCCTTGTCATCACTTCTGCAACCGCAACCGCGACGATCACCACAACCACCGCGGCTTCGACGCCGACTGCGACCACACCTACCGCCTGCGACTACTACTAGACTAGGACTACGACTCGGACTAGGACTACGAGTGACTAGGACCACGACCACGACTGCAGTCCTACGACTACGACCACGAAGACGACGACTACGACCGACGACGGCGACGACGGCAACTACGACAACGGCAACACGGGTAGAAATTGTCATGGCATGACATCCGCCTTGAAGAGCTGCCGCCCTCTCCGCTGCTTCCACAGAAGACACCCGGAATGACTGTCCGTTGCTGTTGTGCTAGGCACTCGTTGATCGAAGCACTTTTGGGAAGCCTGTTTGCAGGGATGGATTTATCGAATTTGAGCCAAGCCTGGAAAGAAGCGGCGAGTCACCCAAGCCAGATCTGCGGCCCAGCTCGCTTCTGGTTAAGCCCCATCAACAGTATCCGATTGTTCACAATTCTGCATGCTGGTGTGCTCGTGGACATTGCTACTCAAAACTTAGCGTCGAACAGAACTGAACCCCGGCAACTTCCCGAATTCTGCAACGCACCAACAAGTCAAGATCAAGCTCTCAACTTCTCTCCCATGGTCGCACACCAAACCAGGCCCTTAACCTTGACCTCAGAAAAAACCCTAAACCCTAAACCAATCAGAAGAGCCCACCAGTGCCCCTGCACAGCAAAAGCAGGGGGCAGACTCCAGCCATCACCGTGGGCCACCTCCGAGGTCCGGCCGTTTTAGACTGGTTTAGGGTTTAGGGTTTAGGGTTTAGTGTGAAAGTGGCCCAAAGTCGGCGCGAGGCGTCACCAGCAACCCACCCAGCAAAGCAAAACACTGTACCACACACCGCGCTGTAGCATAGCATAGTGTACAGCAACGATCTAGCAGAGTATACGTACACTACACTATATTCCTCTATCGCAAATCCCGGAACTGCACGTACTTGAAGCTAGTCTGCGCAGGCACGGTGCACCAAGTTCTCTTGGGATCCCTACCGCACACCTTCTGAAAATCGCTTGCTGTGGATTTCTAGGCCACGGACTTCCGAACGCAAGCTTGATCCTAAGCATTGAGCGTTCCTATGCTGGAGTCGGTCTTCGCGCCAGGAGGCATTGGCATCAGGAAATACTGTAAGAATTATGATTTGTTGTTCGGGCTTTGCTGACGCGTCTAGTTTGGAATGGCATCGAATGTGGCATCCGAGGGCTGCAGGGCCCGCCTCGTTGGCTTCTCAAGCAAGCAAAGAACAGACGAGTCCAATTTGAACCAAAAAACTCGCGGAAAGGTTTGAAACACGAAGTTTACAGTCTCAGGCATTAGGCCTTAGAGTTCAGGATTCATGTCCAATGTTTCTGCAATGAGTTCCGACGGGCGTAGTGAAGTACAGTGAGATCATTAAAAAAAGCACCATCCCATATGCCCCTACACTGCATATTCGATTCCGTGCTGTATGCTGTAGCGCACTAGACATTAGTACAGCAAAGTGTCTCAAATCCAAAGAATTGTTGGTTGATCCGTTTCAATATCCAACACAGGCTAAATTTCCAGTGGCCTACTAGCCTTGCAAAACTTTCTAGCTGGCCTGAGTGCACTCATTCTACCAGTAACCAACGCAGCACGTAGCATTGTATGTCGCCACACTGCAACGAAGACCATGCACTGAGTCTTTTCCTGGCTTGCGGATACATGGACAACGGTTGCTTCACTCCTCCTCGCGGCAAGCACAGCAACTCTTTCGGAGGAGCACATCGCGAGGGCTTCGGGCCTTCTCAGAGCTGGGAGTCTTCAATCGATGCGAGCACCTACGCTGCGCTCGAAATACTCAACCCTTGGGCTCAACGTTGACACTCAACCCTGAACCGAGTTGGGTCCAGGGTTTTTTGCGGGCAGCTACCATCACCGCCTGCATCAGCATGTTGTGCAATCCGTAAGCCTTTCAGACTCATGGATGAACTTCCAATCCTCTGAAGCCTGAGCCTAGCTACAACACGCCCATCATGAACTCCTACCAAGACTGACAAGCTTCTCAAGTCCCAAACTCTAGAACTAAGACCACCAAAAATCACCAAACCTGCCCGAAACCCTGGACTTCAAGCCATCTTTCGGCTCAAGGCTGCCGATCGCCGCCAGGATGGCTGCCAGGAAGGGGCACGAGCGGGCCTGAACGGCGGATCACCCGAGGTTGCGGGGCAACGTTTTCGGGATTGTGGCCGTTAAACGGCTGCGGGTTTAGAGTGTCACTTGAAGTTCCTCTGCCGACAGTGTCACTACCACCAGGGTAGCAGCATTACGCGCACAAGACGAACTGCAGGCGCTATTCAAGGACCGCCTGGCATCGGTGCATGAATCAATCATTATGCAGCCAAGGGCACTGCCGCTCATAACAAAGGAATGGAGGACCCTCGAGTGCAGAACCGGCATAGCGTCAAAAGGCCACCTCGACACCTGCTAGCTATCTTATGCACTTCCCGACTCCAGCCTTTGTGAGCGCCATAACTCACAATGCGCGGATCGGGCCGTAGCAATGCCATGCAACGCAATAAAGATTAGCAGTCTTGACATCACAGTGGGTGCACAACCTTATTCGCTGCAAAGGTCTTGCTTGAGGAGTAACGGGAAGTTCGCAGCGTGAATCATGTGGTGACGGATATCGTTTGAGCACAATGCTCCCGACGCAGGCTGCAAGATTTCTGAAGGCTCCAAGTGCATCACGCTCCAATTTGTACCCCACGATGCAGCGCCCTATGGACCCTATACATTACTCGCATTGGCCCGTACTGGACAATACAAATGGAAAGGATGCTGCCCTACTAGACCACATGCGACTGATTACACTTATTCGTCGAGCTTTGCCACACCTGCAGACCTTGCTCCAGCTCTCTTTTTGGGCCCGAGGTGATGAATGCCGCAGCTCCGGCTTCCTGCAGGTTCGCACTGGTTCTGAACACTATCATGGCACCCTGTGTCCTGCATGGCATACCCAAATTCAC